CCCTATCATAGAATCTGCCTGGAGAGCTGCGTCTGAGCTTGACTGTACTGGCTCTCAACTTAGCAGGTAAGATTTACACTTGTAAAAAGAAAGAAGAAAAAACTGCTTGCAACAGCAGAACTGACAATAGTAGAGAACAGCTTAATATATTTTAAATAAGGGTTGGATTACATATATAGTATTTTTTGTAAGAGACTTAAAAGTACATACCAACTTAAAACATGAGACTTATTGTTTTGTAGTCTGGAATGAGATATAATGAACAGACAATTATAACATTTAACAGTAAACATCGGTTTATTTAAGTTACATGTATGCACACACACACACACACATACACTAAACAAAAATTGTGCAAAGTGGAAGCTCTTAGTGGGCTCTACCAAAGGCATGCCACTGCACAAAACATACACATAACAGAGTCAACACTGGAGAACTAGGTATGAAATACCTCAGTAAAGACGGTGGGACTTGGTCACCTGACCTGGCTGTCAGTTAAGATGGTGGTAAAGTCACCTGACCTCAGTCAAAATGACAGCAGTCACATGTTGGATGGAGAAGCCACTTTTTTTTTTTTTTTTGAACCACGGGAGATTTAAACATAATACCAAGAGAGACCTAGAGGGGTGATCTGCCCTGTTGCCTGTTGCCGAGTCGCTGCACCACAAGCCGCGGTGGAGAGCGAAGGCTGGAATTGAAAACAGCTGCCTTGCGGATCTGTCCAATCCTCGGGAGGACGGCAGGGACAGTTTGAGGAAAAGGAGAGCTGGCAGGACACTGGCAGAGCATTCATAGGCGGGTGGCTAAGAGTTTGAGGGTTTATACCATAGCTGAAAATGCGAAAACTCGCGAAAAACACCACAGGGCCTATAGAAGAGCATCCTCTCTCTACAGGCGGAATGTTAAAGCCTGACTGGCTCCCATCTGGGTAATTCGGAAGCCAGAGAGGCTAGAGGCTGCTGAGTGGTCTCTCATGGCAAGGACCACTTATGAGTGTTCAAAAAGAAAAGAAAAAAAAGGAGAAAGAAAAATCCCTGGGTCCCCAAATCGAATGCACCGCAGTGTGTGCAGTGCTAGCACGGAAGGACCAACCTGGGGTTGTCCGGTCATGATTTCAGCTATGGAAAGCAACCAGAGATGAATGTTAGCCAAGGACTCAACCGTAGCCATGAAGGCTGTGGTTCGCGGCCAGAAGGGGAAAGCTCACTACTGAAGCTGCTGGTGTGCATAGAGGTCTGTGGTCAGGCAGATAGAATGCAGAGCTGTTGTAAAGAAACCTGGTTCCTGAGCCCAGGTGTTTTCAACTGGTCCACCCACGGGTGGGAGGGAACAGGGAGAGCCTGGCTGAGTCACAAGCACCAATGTAATGGTAATAATAAAATGTTGCGGTTCCCAGAGGGGCGCAGTGGCAGAAACCCTGCAGGTCCCTGAGTGGGCAGTCAGTGGGTGACAGGGAAGGAGGGGAGCAGCAGCAGAAGCTGCCTCAAGAGAGAAAGACTGAAAAGGAAGGGGCTCAGACTGGAAGCAGAAGGAAAATCTGCCTGCCTCAGTGGTGGAGGTGGGGGAAAATGAGTGGGCAGGTCTTATCTCTTAAAGGGGACACTAAGGAGCACCTTTTTTGCTTTGTTTTGTTTTTTTGGGAGACAGGGTTTCTTAGGAACTATGAAGCCTGTCCTGGAATTTGCTCTGTAGACCAGGCTGGCCTCAAACTCACAGAGCTCCACGTATTTCTGCATCCCAAATGGTGGGATTAAAGGCATGCAACACCACTGCCTGGCTTTTTTTCCTTAAGTGTGTAATGTATGTTTGTGTTGGTGTGCGGTGTTCGTGCATGTATGGGGTAATGCACTTGCATGTGGAGGCCAGAGGTTGAAATCAGGTATCTTTTTCTGTAGCTCTTCACTGATTTTTTTTTTGGGGGGGAGGGCTTGCATGTGTGTGCATGTGCACATGGGCACATGTGATGGCATAAGTGCACATATATGTGGATGCACAAAGTTGACATCAGGAGACTTCAGTGATAACTGTCTCCACTGTCTTCTTTGAGGCAGGGTCTTTCAATTGACCCAGGATGCAGAAATTCCCATTCTAAAGCTGAGATACTTAGACAGAGAGCTTTGCCCCAGTCACTAACTGCAAAGCCATTCCCTTGAAATTCTCTTGGCATATTGATCTAGTCAAAAAGACACAAGCTCACAGATCACTGGCATAGTTCTGGGAAGGTGACTTGAAAGACAGAGAAAGGGTCTAGGACTTGGAACTGGAGGGCAAAGGCCTCCTCCCACTTCCGCTGTTTGTTAAGGAATGACCAGGAGGAACTCAGTCACTACTGGAGCATGGGTGTTCCCATTCATAAAGGCCTTCTCCTACTTCCGTTGTTGTTAATGAGTGACCAGTGACTCAATCAGTACTGGAGCATGGGTGTTCCCATTCATAAAATGTAGGCAGTCTGCATTGGAAACCAAACCACACCAACACTGGCTATGCAGAAGTCCTGGGGCACAAAACCAAACCAGCAGTGGCTAAGCAAAAGTCCTGGGGCACAAAACCAACCCTAAGGAACAGCTCTTTAATGTGGGTTTCCCCAAAGTTACCTGGACTAGAGTTTCTTCTTTTTAAGGATTTGTTTTTGCCAGGTACTGTGGCACATGCCTTTGATCCCAGTACTTGGGAAACAGATGGAATGCTGTGGGCTAGCCTGGCCCACTACACTGTGAGAGCATGTCTCCAACAACAAAATCCCAAGATTTCTTTACTTCTGTGTCTCTGTGCCTCATGGGTGCGGGTGCCCTCAGAGGCCAAAACTTGAGTTCCGAAGATTGGGAAATGCCCAAAGTGGGTGCTGGGAACTGAGCCTGCGTCTTAACTGCTGCTGAGTCATCGTCATCCCCTCAGTTGTGTGTCATACCCCACCCCACTTTTAGGTAGCTTCCCACTTTGTAGTCTAGGCTAGCCTCTAGTTTATTATGGTACTCAGTACTGGATTCAGACTGGCAGTAAACCTCCTGCCTCCACCTTCCAAGTGTTGGGATTACAGGAATAAACCACTATGCCTTGTTAACAATTATTTTTTTCCCTGAGACAGGGTTTCTTTGTGTAACTCTGGCTGTCCGGAAATTAGCTCTGTAGACCAGGCCAGCCTTGAACACACAGAGAACTGCCTGCCTCTGCACTCATCACCATGTCCAGCAGAATTCTTTAAATTTTTATTTTATTTGTGTGCATGTGTGAAGGTGCCATCAGAGGACAGATTCTCTGGAGCTGAAGTTACAGGTAGTTAAGACATATATGCATATACACAAACATGAAATAGAATCCTTTAAAAAAAAAAAAAACCAAGTTTTTATTTCTTTAAAAAAAAAAAAATTAGGTCGGGCAGTGGTGACCTCAGGTCCAGGCCTGCCAGAGTCACATAATGTGACTCTATCTCAAAGTTATTTTCCATGCCAGGCAGTGGTGGTGCACACCTTTAATCCCAGCACTCGGGAGGCAGAGGCAGGCAGATCTTTGTGAGTTAAAGGCCAACCTGATCTACAGAGCGAGTTCCAGGAAAGGCTCCAAAGCCAGAGAAACAAACAAACAAAAAAAGCTTTAAAGAAAGTAGCATTTCGGTGTCTCAAACACATACTTGCCTCAAATTCCAAATCCTGTCTGCCCTAGCCTCAAGTAGTTTGGAGATAGACATTGAAAAGGTTGAAATGAGGGATGGAGAGATGGCTTAGTGTTTAAGAGCGTTGACTGCTCTTACATTGGATTACAGGTTCAATTCACAGAACCCACAGAACAGCTCACCGCTAATTCCAGCTTCAGGGGATCTTATACCTTCACCCAGATATGTAGACAGGCAAAACACCAATGCACGTGAAATAAAAATTAAAAATCGTTATTGTTAAAAGAAAAAGTTGAAGTGGACTCTACTTCTGTGTCTTTCCAAATAAACAGTAAGGGGCAAGCAAGCAAACTTGCAGGTATAAGCAGGGCCCCAAACTTCATCTCAGCTGCCTTTCTGGGAAGGGAACTTGAAGACAGCAGCCTTGGGGCACCACCGCCATCTGGTGGCCACGGTGTAGCTATGGCGGCCATCATGCCTGGAGTGCTGACTGAAATCTGAGAAGACAAAGAGACCTGAGGGAGGATGACTGGACAGCTGGGAGCGCTTCCCAGGGTCACAGGAAGGGACTGTGTGTACTGTTCTAGAAGCCCTTGCTAGGCCAAGGGCTTTACATTCCCAGGAGTTCCTGCTTGCCCAAGGTCTTAGGGTTTTTACACAGAGCCAAGAAGGATCCCAGTACACCCATCTTGGCGTATCTGTCAGTTTCTACCTTAGCGTGGGCAGCCTTACCCTTGTGGCCGGGAGCTTGGCCTCTTACCTCCTCCTAGCTTCTCTACATCTGTTACTGTTTCCAGCCCTGACATTTCCTACAGCATTCCTCAAATTTATCTCTGCCATCCAGGCACCCAGCCAACTCGTGCCTCAGACCCCCCAAACCCCCACCCACCTCAGAGAGCAGCCCCTACAGCCCTCAAACATTTCCTTTGAAATATCAAATAGAAAAGTTAGAGTATAAAGACCTCATTTTACTTTTTAAAGATTTATTCTATGCCAGGCAGTGATGGTGAATGCTTTTAACACCAGCATGTGGGAGGCAGAGGCAGGCAGATCTCTGTGAGTTCGAGGCCAGCCTGGTCTACAGAGTGAGTTCCTGTCTCTGCTTCCCAAATGCTGGGATTAAAGACATTCATCACCACTGCCTGGCATGGAAAATTATTTTGAGATAGGGTCTCATTATGTGACTGGCAGGCCGGGAACTGAGGTCATGGGCCTATACCTAGAGCACAAGGAACAAAGGTGTACGCTCCTGCCAGTCTTCAGTGATAACAGGACTGTTTCAGCCACTCCCCTTGAGGAAATGTGGTTGCCTTAGTTTTAGTTAGGTAACCCCGGAACCCTATGGGCAATGAATCTTCCTTTGAGTATATTAGAAACTGGGTAGAGAACATGGGTTCAAGATCACTTTTATTTGCAGAGCCTGCAACAGTTGGTTAACAATGCTAGCTAAGCTGGTACAATCCAAAAAGCCATTCTCCTTACAGCATTCAACTAACAGAATCTCTACAAACCAGACCGGAGACCAATCGGGACATGTTTCAACATTGGGAAGAGGCTGCGCATTCCCTTGTTCTCCACATATTTCCAACAAGATTTGTTTTATAGCCAAATGTGACTCAAACCCTTAACAAAGCAACTAGCCGTCTTTAATATCATTGATTCCCTCCCCACCCCTAGAATAGAAAGCAGAGGTAAGAGGGGAGACTTTCCCTAAGAAAAACCTGGCTAGACCCCAGAGGAGCAAAGACGACCGGGAGACTGACACCTGAGAATGTTGATGAACAGGCACCAAACAGGCTGCACAGACTCCAAGCAGCCCAGCTCCTCAGAAGGGAGATGTTCCCTCAAGAGCCTCACTTCCACGGGGGTTAGATTAAGGGGGTAACTCGGGTGACTCATCATTCCCTGTCCCTCAAATCAAAACATGATAAACCCAGAACATTTTAATTCAAATTTACCACACTCCCTCCTGAGAAATTCTACAGTCACCTGTAGGCCATGACCCACTCCTTCCACCTAATGGCCTGGGCTTCTGGCCCCCCTCATCCTTGGGTGCCCACACAACACTGATTTGATACTCAACTCCTAAAATGACTTTTTTTTTTTTTAAAGGACATTCAGTGGGCATGGTCCTCCCTAGCTCTGTGGTCTCCATTCATCCCTTCCCACTCTCACCTTGGGGTACCTCCACTACAGAATTCCAGCACTGGCCTGGGGGTGGCCAGACAGAAGCTGCTTCAAGTGCTTTCTTGTGACTCCGATACCAGCCACTATCCTGGGGACCTGGGACAAGGAGAGTGGAGACAAAACTTTCCCAAGGAGATCACAAAGGACAGAGGTAGGCGTGGGAAGGTTAGCTTATGTCCTGTAGCCAAGCCTGGATCTGGTGCAGGCTCTTACCAGTATCTCAGTCCTTGACTTTGAGTAGCAGCAATCCCAGTCCACAGCGCCTCCTAGGGGTGACTGAGCTCCTAGCGCTGTCCACAACTCAACAGGTTTGCCTTTTCTTATCCCTGCCCCATTTTCTTTCTTTTTTTTTTTTTAAATTAAAAGTAGAGGTAGTTCCTGGGATGATAAAACTCTACCTAATATGGCAGTATTTTGACTTAACGAAGCAGTAAAGTAAAAGTCTTGAGGAATAAAAAAAAAAATAAAACAATTGATGAAGCTGAATAAATTAAAGTTATGGGTCATCCACGAGGACCTCTTCCAGCCTATCTTTGGTATTTGGCCAGCAGCACTTCTGTTTGCCACTTCTCTCCCCTCACGACAGGAGGCCAGGGTCCACCCAATAAGGCCCCAGTTACTTCTTCATGGGATGCTCTGTCAGAGCAGACTCCGGTCTGCGCTATGGCAGGTCCAGCTTTGGCAGACAGTCCTGACAAGGAAGGAGTCTTATAGGACGGAAGAGCGTAACAGTAGGATGCTCTGGTCTCCAACCTGGGAGTGTAGGAGATAGGTTTAAGACATAGAAGGTCCAGGTTGTTCTCCGCGTACCACAATAGCTGGCTCCTTTGCTTCCTGTTGGATGGCAAAGGGAAAGGGAAGGGGCAGGGAGAAGCTTAGGCCGCTACCGCCTGGCTTCAGAGCTTCTTCAGGCGACTGTACATCTCTCTTTTGCTCTTTTCCCCCGCCCAGGTCCGACTCTTGGTGCGGAACTTCTTGAGGTCTTCTTTAAAGTCTTCATGGTGCATGGGTCGGTAACTGGGGGGCTCACAGTGAGACTAGAGAACATGAGAAGAGGACAAGGTCAGGACGCCTCCTCACACAATCTGGCTTCCCCTTGCCTAGAGCTTCAAGCCTGGGAGAAGCAAAGGCCAGTGAGTTCTACAGGAGCCTGAGGCTTAGTGGACGCTTATCTTGTGCCCAGAACCCAAGCAAGCAGAACTATGGATACATGCTCATTATAGACACCTCACCTGGCATTTCAGGAAGAACTCCTTGTATCCCCCCTTTAGGACATACAGCTCAGGGTAGTGGAGTTTGGGGTATTCATTGCCAAGCCTATCTTTTTCTCTCACATATCGACACCTAGTAAAAAGGAATGAAGGAGAAATTCAGGTCGCCTCTTTTTGTGAACGGGAACTGGAGACAACAGTCAGCAGGGAGTGGTCCAGGCACCCCTTCCTAAGAACACACTGCCGATACCACCTGTAGTTCTACTTCCTGGGAGAGAGTAATGGAACCTTTGCCTCACTAGTCCAACCCACACTGCCCAAACTTGCGTACAAGCTGCAGTTTTTGTGCCCTACAAAATATAAATAAGAAGCCAAGCGGTGATGGTGCACACCTTTAATCTCAGCATTTGGGAGGAAGAGACAGGTGGATCTATGTGTGTTCAAGGTCAGCCTGGTCAACAGAGTGAGTTCCAGGACAGGCTCCTAAGCTACATAGAGACCATGTCCTGAAAAAAAACAAAACAAACACGGGCTGGAGAGATGGCTCAGTGGTTAAGAGGGTGTTCTTCCAGAGGTCCTGAGTTCAATTCCCAGCAACCACATGGTGGCTCACAACCATCTGTAATGAGATCTGGTGCCCTCTTCTGGTGTGTGGGCATACATGGAGGCAGAATGTTGTATACATAAGAAATAAATCTTTAAAAAAACAAAACCAAAACCAAATAAATGTAGGTACCAATAGTTTGAATTTATCTACTTCTCTGTATTACTGAGGATTGAACCTAGAACCTTGTGCTTACCACTAAGACATGCATTTTCCAGCCCGTACTGTAACCTTTTTCTTTTATTGAGCCCCCATGCATACTCAGCATCACCACTGTACCGGTAATGAATGCTCCATTTTATTGTCTCAATGGTATCTGCTATATAGTAGGTATCTACTCTCGCTTGAACAAGGACCTCACAATACTAGACAAGTGCTCTTTATCACTCTCTTGAACAAGACCCCCAGCCTGTCAGCAAGCTAAGTTTCTTTGATACAGGGTCTCATGTAGCTCAGGTCGCCCGGGGACTTCAGGTGACATTTGTGTAAGAAACAAGTGCTTGATATTTAATGGTGTTACAGGAGATCAATAAGTAGAGCTAAACAGCGGGGGGAAATGGGCATCAAAGGGGACAAAGGTCAAACATGGCATTTGAGCTAACACTAGTATCAATGTGACTGGACTAGAAGTCTGAAAACATTTGTAACTCAAACTTCTAGGCTAAGTCCATAAACTATATTCAAGAAATCAGCTTAGAGCCGGGTGGTGGTGGCGCATGCCTTTAACCCCAGCACTAGGGAGACAGAGGCAGGCGGATCTCTGTGAGTTTGAGGCCTGGTCTACAAGAGCTAGTTCCAGGACAGGCACCAAAGCCACAGAAAAACCTTGTCTAGAAAATGAAACAAAAACTTTTGCTTGGGTGGTGTTGTTGATGGCCTTTTATTCCAGCACCTGGACTACAGAGCAAATTCCAGAACAGCCAGGATTTCAGAGAAACCCTGCCTAAAACAAAACAAAACAAAAAACAACTCAGCGGGATAAAGGTGCTTGACAAAGTGAGTTTGATGGCAGAAACCCACATGATAGAACACTCTCAAGTTGTCTTCTGAACTCTACATACACAATGTAAATAAACAGCAATAATTTTTTAAAAATGTTTATTTATTAAGTAAACAATGTTCTTTCTGTGTGTATGCCCGCAGGCCAGAAGAGGGCACCAGATCCCCTTACAGATGGTTGTGAGCCACCATGTGGTTGCTGGGAATTAACTCAGGACCTTGGGAAGAGCAGGCAATGCTCTTAACCTCTGAGCCATCTCTCCAGTCCAAAACAGCAATAATTTTAAAAGGCTGTGAAACAAATCACTGACTAGGAAACAGAATCAAGGGAAACTATGTTATACAGAGAATCGGCTCTCATAAAGCCAGGTTTATACGCTACGTGCAGACTAGACTACTAGGCTCCACAAAAACGTCATGAAGCTTCTGTCCCCAAGCCTTATTCATGTGGTACTCACATGCGAGGGCCTCTTTCAGAAGAAAACTCACAGTGGAACACGACGATGACACGCTTGCCATCGGTAGGCACGATAGGTTTCTTGAGCAAGAATTCCTCAACCTCTTCTTCCATGTGCAAGTTCACAGCACCCTTTGAAGACACCAGAAACTGCTGAATCACACTTGAAGTAGAGACTCTATGAGAGCAAGCACCTCAGACTAATTCACGACTCTGCAGGCCTCCTGGCACAGCTCTCAATGAGGCTTTCTCTGTAGGTCTATAAACTTCGCCCGTTCAGCAACAAATGTAAGAACTAGGAATAATCTCAAATTGTTATTTTTTTAAAGATTTATTTATTTATTATGTATACAACATTCCTTCCATGTATGCTTGCATGCCAGAAGAGGGCACCATATCTCACTATAGATGGCTGTGAGCCATCATGTGGTTGGTGGGAATTGAACTCAGGATCTCTGGAAGAGCAGTCAGTGTTCTTAACCTCTGAGCCATCTCTCCCGCCCCCTCAAATTGTTATTTTTAAAGTGCCAGGCCACCACATTTAAACACTGCTTTATAGGGTATTAAAGTGTTGTGACCAGCTCCTTTCTTTTCAGAACTATGTGTTCCAACATGACCTCCCACCAGGTAGGCACCTTGATTATAGAACAGAGGCCCGGTACAAACATTAAGGCAGGCATGTTGCCAGACTGGCTTCTTCTATTAAGGAGCTCTGGAGTGGTCAAACATTTATATGGAACCCTTTGTGGCCCCACTGCACAGCTTGTCCTGTAACAGGAAAGCATGTGACAAGGGAGAGCACTGCAACTCAGTGGTAGAGGAACTAACGGGAACATTCATTCAGTTCAATTCAGTTCACACCTACTGGCTTGTTCTAAATTCTCACCATCAGCTAAGAGGTGTCAATACCCCACCTCTAAGACCCCCAAGAAAGCAAGTCTCAAGAATCCAAACCTTGATGTGACCTCCTTCATATTCATATGGGTATCGGCAGTCAATAATAACAAACTCTTTAATGAGATTGGCAAACTTGCCATTCAAAACAGATGCCATCTATGAAGAGAAAGAACGGTGGGGTGTCAATGTCAGCAGTCAGGTAACAATATTCCAACTTCCTAAGTGCAGCAGGTTCCACAAGTCTGACTTACAATTTCTGGAGAAATATATTTCAAATCTTGATGCTTCCCAGAGACCGTATGGAAGAGATAACCCTTTAAAAAAGGAAACAGAAGAGATTTAGGGGAATGCTGTTCACTCTGCTGGCCCACAGGTAGGAAGCAGCTCAGGAACAAACATAGGTGAATGGCATATGCTAATTACCCTTCTATGCATTTAACTAACACCTGGATATATAATAGTTGTTTGTTTAAGGAGGCAAGTTCTCATTATGTAGACCAGCCTGCTCCAAACTCATTGAGATGAGCCTGCCCTGGAATTAAGGGAATGAGCCACCATGTTCAGCTTTGAGGCAGTATAGGCCAGGCTGGCTGTCTTGGACCTAGTCACCCTGAGGTTAGATTTGAACACAGGTGATTTCCTTTTTCCCTCATTTTTAATCAGGAACACACAGTGGCTAGAGTATGAAGACTTAAAAACGCAGCGAGGAGAAGCAGATATAGTCGCTGAGGTACGTAATAACAGCCTTTGGAAGGAAGAGGCAGGAGGATCATAAAGGTTACCTCCAGCCTGAGTGGGGTGAGACTAGGGAATAGGCATGGTACTATTTACTGTAACCCTAGTCATGGGAGCCCAAGATGACTTTCGAGACCCAACCTTGGAAGCAAGACAGTTTGGTCATCTGATGGGCACCTGGTTGCCTAGCACAGGGTTAGGCAATGAGAACGGAAAGACAGCCTTGGTCCAGCCTTAGAAAGATGAACATGGCCGTGCTACTCAGAGGACAACTGGCCAACTACACAAGACAAACTGCCGACAGTCTCAACTCAAGTTGAATATTACACAGGGTTTTACTTGTTTTTCTCTTCAAATTCCCTGTTTTGTTTGTTTGTTTCTTGAGACAGGGTATCTAAATAGTTCCACCATCCTGGAATTCACTATGTAGATTAGGCTGGCCTTGATTACTATTTTTATAGTCAGAAGCCCAGTTCCCAGAAGGTGGGTAGCCACACAGGAAACCACTAAGCTAGCAACAGTCTCAAAGACCAACATGTACCTCATCATCATTAGAACCTCAACTTGTTCCTCATCTTTTACTTTTTAAACTGTTGCTTTGGAGGCCTCCCAGGAGCCATCTTGAGGAAGGAGAAAAGCTAAGTAGGGTTCTAGCTACCCCACCACCACACCAGCACAACCCTAACTAGATAATGCTTCTTGCTATTACCTTGGAGAAATCCCCTATAAGGTCTCTTGGGTCACTGTCCAAAATGTTCTCAATGGTTCCTTTGGGTGAAGATGTCAGGGATAAAGACTGGTGTAGAAGCTGTAACAAACCAAAGGTAGAAGTTGACACCAAGGTTTTGACTAGAACTCCTAAAAATATCTACCTTGGCCACGGCAAGAGGAGACTGGAAAATGGATGACTACACTAAGGGTAAGATATTGTGATGCGACTGAAACAGAAGGAAAAAGATAGGCCCTATTATTTATTAAATAGTTGAATTTTGGAGGGCTGGAGAGATTGCTCAGTGGTTAAGAGCAATGCCTGCTCTTCCAAAGGTCCTGAGTTCAATTCCCAGCAACCACATGATGGCTCACAACCATCTGTAATGAGGTTTGGTACCCTCTTCTGGCGTGCAGATACACATGCAGGCAGAATAATACTATATACATAATAAATAAATACTTTTTATAAAAAAGTTGAATTTTTCTGAAAACCCCCTCTATCCTTTTTACCGTGTATCTTTGGCTGGCCTGGAACTCTGGGGCTTGCTAATAGAGACCAGGTTAACATCAAACTCAGAGATCCATAAGGATTACAGGTATGCCCCACATATCTAGCAACTTTGCTTTTATTGTTCATAAAGAACTATTAAGCTGATAATATCAAGCTGAGGCAAGGCAATCCTAGAAATAGGAGGATTGCTACAAGCTTGAGCCCAGTCAGGGCTACATTTGCCTGAAAACAAAAAAACAAAACAAAACAAAACAACCCAAAAACACCAAACCCAACACCAAAACAGATCATTGTCATGTATCTCACAAAATGAAATGTAATTACTTTATCTCAGCAGAGTCCACCAACTTCTGATAAGGTTGTTTTGTGAGAAAACAAACTCAAGAAGTTGTAAAGATCACTTAGATTGCTCTAAATAAATAGCCTTCTGTGCTCTAGGCTGTCCTCTTGCAGCCTGGCACAGCTCCAAACAGGGACAAAAGGAACCTCTGTGTAAGCAGGCCCGAGAACTAGTAATCTGAAGCAACCTGAACATTTATATCCAAGGAGGGATATTTGGAATTTGAATCAACCATTTTCACCCCTTCTTCCAAGGACAGAGTATAAATCTGTCAAAGGCATGATGAGGCCAGAGAGGTGGCCCAGAGGGTGAAAGTACTTGTATATTATATGCCTGCTAGCAATCCTGGGAACCCATGTGTTCTGATCTCCCCACAAGTCGTGGTATTCACAGGTCTTGCACCAAAATAGTATTATTTTAAAAAAAGAAGAGGGTGGGGGCTGGAGACAAGGCTCAGAGATTAAGAGCACTGGCTGCTCTTCCAGAGGTCCTGAGTTCAATTCCCAGCAAACACATGCTGACTCACAACCATCTGTAATAAGATCTGGTGCCCTCCTCTGGCATGTGGGCATACAGAGGCAGAATGTTGTATACATAATAAATAAATTTAAAAATAAAAAAGGAGGATGGAGGTAGGTGAGCACCTTAAGATTTTTTCCCAAGCCTAGCCTGTCAGGTTAGAGCTGAGAGTCAGCTCCAGACAGCTGTCTTTGATGGTAACCTCCCCCTTCACTTAAAAGATCACTGTACCCTTATAGAACACAGTACTTTCTCTAAACCCTATTTCCCACTAAAAGAAACCACATATCAGGCATTGGTGCCTTTAACCCCAGCACTCGGGGAGGCAGAGGCCTACAGAATGAGTTCCAGGACAGCCAGGGCTACAGAGAAACCCTGTCTCCAAAAAAACCCCAAAACCCAAACCAAACAAAAATATGGGCATAGTAGGGAGTCCAGCACTAGGGAGACAGGAATCAAAAATTCAAGGTTCCCCTCAACAAAAGAGCTGGGCAATGGTGGTACACGCCTTTAATCCCAGCATTCAGGAAGCAAAGGCAGGTGTATGTTGCTTGGTAGACAAGGCCAGCCTGGTCTACCCAGGGAGTTTCAGGATAGGCCCCAAAGCTACAGAGAAACCTTGCCTCGAAAAACCACCAACAACAAACAAAACAGATGGCACAGCAAGTTAAGGATTCTTTGCTGCTGAGTTCTATGCCTGGGACCTACATGGTAGGAAGGGAAATAAATGTCTCCAAGTAATAGTCTGACCTCCACATGTTCACTGTGGCTATATGTCCCTACCCCCAAACACCCAAACAAACCAACCCTCCACCCCTGTAATAGAGAGATGGTTTAACAGTTAAGAACACTTGTAGAATTTAGTTTCCAGCATCCACATGGCAGATCACAACCATGAGTAATTCCAGGCATGCACACTAAACAATCATACACATAAAATAAATCATTAAAAACAGCCAAACCCACAGAATAACAAAAGAATGAACTTCCACAAATCCAGATACCCTATCACCACTAAAATACTATGGCGGTTTAAAATGAGCTGTTCCCATACTTGGAGCATTAATATGCGGTCCATATTGATGACACTGCTTTGGGAGGCTCAGGAGAAGTGATACTGCTAGGGGATTTGTGTCACTGGGTTTCGTTCTTTTTTTTTTATTGGTTGTTCGAGACAGGGTTTCTTTGTGTAGTCCTGGCTGTCCTGGAACTCAGAGATCTGCCTGCCTCTGCTTTAGAGCATTAGGATTAAAAGCATGTGCCATCACCTCCATAAATTGCCTTTGTTATGGTGTTTTTTCACAGCAATGGAAAAGTGAGTAATATAAACACCTAAAATGAACAGCTAGCTATACATTACCAAATACTCCTCAGAAATATAGAACAAATGCAACTCATACACTGCTATTGAATACACCATTCTGGAAAACTATTTGGCAGTATATGCCAAATCGAACCATGCTCTGGCCCACGACCCAGCAATTTTAAACCTCTGAAAAATCTAGGGACAAGACTATGGGCCAGTGCTTGCTTTGGCAGCACATATACTAAAATTGGAATGATACAGAGAAGATTAGCATGGTCTCTGCGCAAGGATGACACGCAAATTCGTAAAGCGTTCCATATTAGAAAATGTTAAAAATTAAAAAAAAAAAGACTATGGGCCAGTGGGAACCCCTAGATTTGTGACAACTGACAAGTCCTTTAACAATTAAGACAGACAAAAAGATATAGCACAGGGGCTGGAGATAGATGGCTCAGGGGTTAAGAACACTGGCTGTTCTTCCAGAGGAATGTTCAATTTCCAGCATCCACATGGTGGCTCACAACCATCTATAATGAGATCTGATGCCCTCTTCTGGCATGCAGGCAGAACACTCAATAAATGTTTATTATTTATATAAATAATTTTTATATAATATTTAACTATAATTAAATATATTTAATTATTTGATAATTAAATAATTATAAATTATTAAATAAATATATTTAATTATTTAAATATATAATATAATTATAATTTATTAATTATTTAATATTTAAATAAATCTTAAAAAAAAAAGATACAGCACAGATAATGAATGAGAGACTGATAAAAGTCAGGTATGGTAGTGCATACCTGTAATCCCAGCACCAGGACGAAGACAGGAAGGTCACTTCATGGTCCAGGCTAGCCTGAACATAGAGCAAGACCCTGCCTCAAAAGCCAAAGCAAAAGAAAAACCTAATAGAAACAAATAACACAACCCCTAAATAAAGCAACCCAGAACAGAAGAAAAAAAAAAAAAGAGCTGGATCTCAGCATCAGAAACATTCTAGGCTAGGTGGTAGTACATCCCTTCAATCCCAGCAACAGAGGCAGAAGCAAGTGGATCTGCGCTCAAGGATAGTCTGGTCTATAGTTCCAGGACAGTTAGGAATATACACAGAAACTCTGTACCCTGTCTTAGAAAAATAGGGTAAGGCTTGGCAAGGATTGGACCACCAAGTAGAAACGTTTAGAACCGAAAGACAGTTATCACTCTAACCTCTTGGGTTGGCTCTAAAATATCTGCTTTGACAGGACTGGACACACTCTTCCTCCGCTTCGTGCTTCTTCGAGGAGACTCTTCATGAGATCGTTCTGTTCTCTTCAACAGGGACCGAGTGCTGGAGCTGCTGCCGGAGCTGCTGCTGGAGCTGCACGGGGCAGGGGAGGCAAACAGCCTGCACCGATTGCCCTTAGGGTAGGAGACAGATCCACTGTGATTAAAATTTGACCACTAGAATGACAATCAGTCTAAAACCTAGGCCCTAAATCCTATGTTATTCCAGTCAACATAGTTAAGGACTACTTTGTTCAGTGGCTCAACTATTCAAAACTCCACATACCGGAATAACTTACAAGGTTTGTAGGTCTTCTCATGACAAGGGGAGCTGTCCAGAGGCTTGCCATGCATGAAGGGGTCTCTTCATCATTCTAGAGGAAGAGAAAAACTGCTTTTAAACAGACCCAGCAGAGGAAATGAGAAGAAAATGACCCAGCCAGATTAGCATTAATCTAAATGCTCTGTATTTAACTTTCCTAAAGAATGCCAACATATCTGAATAAATTTTGTTTTGTGATTGGAGACAGAGCCTAGAGAACAGGCTGGTCTAACTTGTAGTTTATGGCAATCTTGTTCAGCATCCTGTATGTTGAGATTATAGGCACGCACCACCAGGGAAAGCTAGTACAAAAGAGCTTAAATCTTGCTATATCTTAGTTACAGAAGTATCTCAAGGGCTGGAGAGACGGCTCAGCAGCTGTTTGATCTTCCAGAGGACCGGGGTTCAATTCCCAGCATCTATGCGGCAGCTCACAACTGTCTAATTCTAGTTTCAGAGGATCTGACACACTCTGACATACACGCAAGCACAATACCAATGCACATACTATAAAAATACAAATAAATTTAAAGATATGTGTGTAATTACGAAATAATAAACTTTTTAAAAGTATCTCAACATATTCTTTTCCCTACTCCTTAAAGCCCAGAAGGACCTGACCAGTATCATGTGACCTTCCACTCTGCAACAGCATTTAGTCAAACAGGGAAGTCTCAATAATCTCATCAAATAACTAAACAATCAGCCAGCTGAGACCCCAGGAACTGTTTTTATGTAGGAGGCTTCTCCAGTGGTGTCTAGAATGTAGGCATAACCATATACCCACAGATGATACCTTTAGATTCTCTCCATCCAGAAGATCTATGAAGCCATCATCCTCATCAGACAAAGTGGCTTTCACAGGTGACTGGGATGTAAAAAGAGAACTGAAATTTCCTGATTCACTGCTATCACCTTCATTTGAAGAGAGCTGAAGACAAAACAGAAGATATGCAAATGCAACATGTGTGAACCTGGTATCCTCAGGTCAGAGGAAAGCACTGGTTCCCTGGCTTCTGAGACAGAGTTCCTCATGTAGCTGTAACTGTTCTGGAATTCACTCTGTAGACCAGACCCCGAATTCAGAGATCAACCTGCTTCTGGGATTAGTCATGAACTAGCACTGCTTGGCTCATGAGCTTATATGCACTACCATGTATGTATAACCTGTGATAGTATATAATCAGAAGGAAACAAAGGAAACCTGTTAACCCCCCAAATGTTTCATTCTTAGCACCCACCTCAGACGGCTTACAGTTTCGTGGCATTGTAGCTCCATGTGATCCTAAGCCTGTGGCCTCCTCAGGCATCTGTACTCATATGCACCCCCCCACAGTTAAAAATAAAAACAATTTTAGACAGGCAGCGGTGGTACACCTAGCAACTAGGAGGCAGGGGCAAGCAGATGTCAGAGTTAAAGGCCAGCCTGGTCTACAGAGTGAGTTCCGGGACAGTCAGGACTACAGAGAAACCCTCTTTCAAAAACCAAAAAAGAAGATTTAAAGGAAAACATACCTGCCCAATTTTAAATTGAGTGATTATGATTTTGTCCTAGACATTACACCAATTCTTTACAGCTATAACCCCATTTAAATCCAGTGCACACTGTCACTTTAGTTAATCCCTGTGTTCCTCGAGACTAAGTGCTTCTAGCCCCCGAAGCTGGAACTACCTGTACCAACATACCCTAAGAATCCACTGCCTTGTGTTTATTAAAAGGAAACTCATGTTTAAGGTTACCAGATCATACACCTCACTTATTTGACACCCAAACCTGGAAACCAGTTGGCTGTGTTGGCAAACACTTGTAATCCTAGAGACAGGAGCATTCCGAGTTCAAGAAGTTTTGAACTACATAGAAAATTTGAAGCTAGCCTGGGGTTTTTAAGAGATTCTGTCTCAAAAATGCAAACAAGAATCCCAATTCTATAAACAAAAAGCCAAACCAGTAAAATTAACACCGGCTTTTTAAAAGTCTGCAGCCCCTATAACTGTTAGTGCCTTTAATGATCAAGCAATCACAGAAAATCTTGGCATTCTGATTCCCAAGCATCCAAACATTTTCTATTTCAGTATATTCGCAAACTGTCACGAACGAGAACCACAGTAAACTCTAGTCTACTGTTTACATGTCCTCTGACAAATAAATCAACTTCTCTAATGAAACTTTCTAATCTGCCAGATGAGGTAACTCCAGACTCCAGATAATTCACAGGCCTCAGCCTTCCAAATGGTGGGTTTACAGACATGAGTCACAACTAAATACTAAACTTCCTTAAAAAAAAAACAAAGAAAACCTAAATTTATTCATTAAATCTTTTTAAAAACAATCTTTGCTTTTTTTTAAAAGAAAAAAAATTTGAAACAGAATTTCATGCAGCCCAGGCTGGCCTTGAAATCATGACAGAGCTGGAAAAAAAAAATCTTAAATTTCTGATCCTCCTCCCTTTACCTCTAAGTGTTTAGGTTACAGTCATTCACCATACATTCAGCATTAATAAATTTCATGCTGGTACAACACACACGAATGCATGCACGCACAGATGACTGCAGTGTTGTAAGTTCTATTCCCATGATGAATTCCCTATATGAAAGTCAGAACACATACCATACGAGCTGGGGCTGAGTTCTGCCTGTATGTGAAGAGATCTTTATTCTCCTCATGTACATGAACATTGAAGCAGCCACGAGATGCAGGTCTTACAGGCTTTTTAAATTCAAATGCTTCCTGCAAAACAATAATTGATATATTTTCTACTGTCCATAAAAAACAGCTTTAAGGCTGGTGGGATGGTTAGGCAGGTAAATACAGTTAAACATACATGGTACACAAACACAAAGTAAAACACCCATAAACACAAAAATGCATGCATCCAATCTAAAAACAGCAACTGCTAGTAGCAGTTTTTACATTACTAAATACTTTCTGAACATAAACTTGTCTAACCATCGAATACAACCTGACTGTTCCTATTTTACAAGTAGGAAAATAGGCCTCCTCCCTCCCACCCCCAGTTAGGGTTTTTCAGTCCTGGCTGTCCTGGAACTTTCTGTAGACCAGGCTAGCCTCAAAATGGAACCTAGGTCTTCCAGGTTAAATGAAGTACTTAGATCTTGAAGGACACCTCCAGAAAGTTCTTTAGCCTATGTTATTATTTCTGTCTAGAACAAAGCTTCCAGGAAGGCAGCCTTCAGAAGTCAAGTTTGGATCAAGACCCAGATTATACAATTGTGGTCTGGTGGCACTAGAGGTCGACAGACTGTTCCAAGCACACAAGGGAAACCATGTCCATAGACTGTCTCATGGCACAAACAGAATCTGCGTTCCTACAGACAACTGGTTTTATATTAAACCTAGAAATATTAAGGGTGATAAACTCTGGCATTTTAGCAGGGAATGGGAAACAATAAACATACAGAGTGAACGGCTGCTTTAGACACGCCACCCTACAAAGTTTAGGGGGAAAGTCAGGCTTCTAGATGAACCGCATCATCCTCAAAGCCACGATTTCAGATATTCTGAGACTCACAGAACTCGCATGGCTTTAGATTTTGGCTCAACATTCTAGTGTTTATATACTTGGCAGTCATTCACAGAAAATAAAGTCTAAGGAAAACATGCTGCTACGTAAGCCCAGTGTGGCACATGTCTTCCAAACACAATGCAGATTCTTCACAAGCTTACAAGATACCTAAGGGTTGGTGCCCAAAAAGGAAAAATCTCGAGTAAACACTTCTAGAAAAAACTATTCATGGATGTAATTACACCTCACAAAAGCTACTTACTAAAATCCAGCCACATTTACCTGCCAGGTACCATTCTAAATTCTCGACATATATCTTATTTAATTTCTAGAACAGCCCATAAAGAGACTAACAGAAGCTCCCGCAGCACAAAGCTAGGTAGAAGCAAGATCCACATTCAGAATTCTCTGCAAAGGCTCGGTGTGGCTTTCCATAACTTAGTCATCAGGCAGCGGCCTAGCCGCTTGGCTTGTAAGCCACTGGCACTGGGAGGCTTCCTTCCCAACCTGGGTTACCATGTGGATACTATACTCACATTTTCCTTATTTTCATCCTGGTCGATGAGCTGAAAGATGTCATGGTCTAGAGAATCAGAATGGCTCCTCTTCAGCGCTGGGCTACAACCCAAGAGTTTCTGCTACCAAAGGAAAAAAAGCAATTGAATTCAGTATGGAAAATTCAGTTTTCCTTTTTATTTTTTTGAGATAGCACCCCAGGCTGACCTTGAATTTGAGATAACCCTCCTGCCTCAGTCTCCCCAAGTGCTAGGATTACAGGTTTGACCCATTACACCCAGCCAAAACCTCACTTTTTTTTGAGACAGGGTTTCTCTATGTAACAGCTCTGGCTGTCCTGGAGCTTGCTCCGTAGACTAAGCTGGCATCAAACTCACAGAAATCTGCCTGTCTCCATCTCCCAAGTGCTGGGGGTCACCACCATCTGGCTCAAAACCTCCATTCTTAAAGAAATGAAGTAGGGGTTGGGAGAGCTAGCGTCCCACATACTACAGCACATAATCAGTAAAAGTGACCTTACGCCTAATCATATAAGGCTTATAGCCCTCTTGGCAGGTATATTATAGTGCCAAACCTAGTACCAGTTGCGTAATAGGAAGCTTTCCTGGTTTGATAAACTGAGACTGAGGACAAAGTCCACAAGAGGCAGTCACTGTTGAAGCTGTTCTAGGTAATGCCTTATTGTTCAGTCTTAGCATTTACTGCAATGCAGAAAAGCAATGTTCATTTCATAAATGTAGGTGATGCTGACATTTGGAGGCTGTTTACAGGTATTACCTCAAAATGACAATGGAACTTACAGGTAAGGAATGTATTCTCCTCAGGGAAATTTCAAGGCTGTAATGAGATCAAAAGGTAAATGTGAGAAGAGGTATGTATATCAGCAGATTCACACTGCTTAACCTATAGTTTGGGGAGTCAGTGGGCAAGTCAGATTCTCATTGTAGCAGATATACAAGAATGTCTAAGGCATCTCCAGTCTCAGGAGCAACCTCAAACACCAGGTATCGAGACTGAAAAAACCTGGTATCTCTTAAAATACATTCATTTAAGGCTTTATTGCCAAAAGGTGGAGCAAGGGAAATCACAGCTAAAATAAAGGAGGGAAAATCCTGGAAACTGCGGACACAAAACAATGTATTCATTCTCAGCAGTGTTTCTGGGATCCAAGCATCTCACTGGGAACAGCCAACTGCAGAGCTCTAGCCCCCTGCATGAAATAGTCACCCAAAGACTAGCAAGTCTGACAACAAATGATGGCACACAAGTTTAATCCCAGCACCCAGGAGGCAGAAGCAGGCATATCTGAGTTCCAGACTAGTCAGGGTTACATAACGAGATCCTGTATCAAGAACCAGTAAACAAGTTTCTTTCCCCTTTTTGGTGAATCCAGGGCCTCACAAGCCACACAAGCACTCGATCACTGAGCTCTTCATTTTCTTTTTTTAAAAATAATTTATTTTTATTTTATATGCATTGTTGTTTTGCCTGCATGTGTGTCTGTGTGAGGATGTCAGATACCCCGGGTTACAGCTGTGAGCTGCCATGTGGGTGCTGGGAATTGACCTCAGGTCTTCCGGAAGAGCCAGTGCTCTTAACCACTAAGCCATCTCACCAGCCCCTTCACTTTTTATTGAGACAGGGCCTTGAATCTCTGACCCTTCTGCCTTAACTTCGCAAGCAGCTGAGACTACAGCCTGTGCCAGTAGGCCTGATTAAGGAAAACTTTTCTTCTAAGCATAAAAGTTAAAAGCAAGGAATACATACTTTTCTTTACTGTCCAAGGGCCCAGGAGAATCTAGACAGAAACCTTTGAGAAATAAGAACAAAATTCTTAGGAAATAATACACATTCTGTTTTTAAGTAACATTTTCTAAGTATTCCAGATTCTCTTCTATTTGCAAATACCAATAAGAGAAACAAGATTCAAGAGCCAATTGATATCAAGATTGCTTTTCAGATAGGAGTGACCCATATCCTTTTGTGGAATTTTTTTTATTTTTTCAAATCGTATGACTAATTTATGGGTATGAAAAATATAACCATCTAGGTATGAGTTCCAAGAGACCAGTCTTCTGTACAGAGCGAGATCGTGTCTTAAAGAGAGGACAGGCGCATCAGAGAAATACAAATCAAAACAACCCTGAGATTCCATCTTATACCTGTAAGAATGGCCAAGATCAATAACACTAATGACAACTTATGCTGGAGAGGTTGTGGGGAAAAGGGAACACTTCTGCATTGCTGGTGGGAATGCAAGCTGGTACAACCCCTTTGGATGTCAGTGTGGCGATTTCTCAGAAAATTAGGAAACAACCTTCCTCAAGACCCAGTAATACCACTTTTGGGTATATATCCAAAGGATGCTCAATCGTGCCACAAGGACATGTGCTCAACTATGTTCACAGCAGCTTTGTTTGTCATAGCCAGAACCTGAAAGCAACCTAAATGCCCCTCGACCAAAGAATGGATAAGGAAAATAATGTACATGTACACAATTGAGTACTACACAGCAGAAAAAAAAATAACGACACCTCGAATTTTGCAGAAAAATGGATGGAGCTAGAAAACATTGAGAGGTAACCCAGACTCAGAAAGACAATTATTACATGTACTCACTCACAGGTGGTTTTTAAACATAAAGCAAAGAAAGCCAGCCTACAAACCACGATCCCTGAGAACTTAGGCAACAATGTGGACCCTAAGAGAGACATACATGAATCTAATCTACATGGGAAGTAGAAAAAGACAAGATCTCCTGAGTAAATTGGGAGCATTGGGGACCTTGGGGGAGGACTGAAGGGAGAAGAGGGGCAGGGAGGGGAACAGAGAAAACTGTAGAGCTCAACAAAAATCAATTAAAAAAAAAAGAGCACACAGAGGAAGCTGGGTAAAACGGTAAGATTAGCAGTAGCTTGTGGAAGCAGAGGCAATTAAAAAAAAAAAAAAGAGTGGCTGGGGTTGGTGGCGCATGCCTTTAATCTTTAATCTCAGTGAGTTCGAGGCCAGCCTGGTCAACAAAGGGAGTTCCAGGACAGCAAGGACTACACAAAGAAACCTTGTCTCAAAAAACCAAAAAAGTGGTAGAAAGACAATTCGGACGAGCGCAGCTATTCTTGCAGAGGACCAGTTAAGTCCCAGCAACCACGTGGCTTCTAATGCCTTTAACTCCAGATCCAGAAAATCTGACCTCCCCTTCTGGCCTCCAAGGAAATCTATGCACATGGCATGTAACATGAGTCACGCAGGCAAAATACCCACACATATAAAATAAAAATAAAGTTATTTTTAAAAAGAAGAGACTCGGGCTGGAGAGATGGCTCAGTGGTTAAGAGCAATGCCTGCTCTTACAAAGGTCCAGAGTTCAATTCCCAGCAACCACATGGTGGCTCACAACCATCTGTAGTGAGGTCTGGTGCCCTCTTCTGGCCTGCAGGCATACACGCAGACAGAATATTGTACATATAATAAAATAAATAAGAAAAGAGACTCAACATTTATTTTATCTTCATAAACTGCTGAGCTCAGGGGCTCCCTTCGTACCAAACAGCATGTCACGCCATGCCATGATTTCTACACATAGTGTTACCAGTTAAGTTCCTAGGAAAAAGGCATGATTCAGGAAGTTCCCAATAGTACTCCCCACATGGCTGGCTCAAAGGTGAATGGCAAAGATCGAACAAATACCTGGATCCGGCTGGGGCACAGTGGCCCACACCTTTAACTATAGCACAGTGTAATGGAAAAATTAAAAATGCTGCAGGATCCTTGAGTTTGAGGCCAATGTGATCTACATATTAAGACCCTGTCTCAAAATAAATAAATTTTGAAAAATAAGGAACTGAAGAACTGGTTTGATGGTTAATGGCACTTGGTGCTCCTGTAGAGGGACAAATTCAGTTCACAGACGGCTCACAGTGGCCTGTTAACTTTCCAGTTTCAGGGGTCCTAAATGTCTTCTGATCTTGGCAGGCACCTACATATATACGTGCACAAACTCATAAATAATACTACCTGAATCTGTCGATTCAGAGGAGCCCATTCTCTGTAGACTGCTGTTGTTTCTCACCTCCATTGGCTTCTCACACTCACTGAAACCAAAAGAAATACCTCCACATGAGCAATTCCAAGGACATAATTAAAAAGCAGCCAGGCTGCCGAACTATTATTCTGAGACAAAACCAAGGCCACTCCACACTCACACTTGGCCACCCAGAACCCAGTTGGCATTTGAACAAAGAAAGGAGTGGATCTGGCCTTGGGCCACATTGTAGGCCATGCCTGTGGCAAACGCTGGGTTATTTCCTTAAAGGAGAACCTTAGTTTGAGGTACTATGCTGGGAGTAAGGGCAAAGGTGAGGACAGGAACCCCAGCTCTTCAGGGGCTGGAAAAATGTTTAGAAAAGGAGAGTCCGACGACTGAAAGAAAAATAACCTCACTAAAAATAGAGGAATCTGTTTTTGCTGTTGGTGGTGGTGTAGCACACGAATATTTCCAACACAGAAAAATTAAGTAGAAAAAGCTAGGTATGAGAAGGTAGACGGGGAGCTGTAAGAAACGTGCCGGCCAAGTGCCTGCATAGATTTTGCAGAAATGCAAGAAAAGAAAATGCCATGTCCCTTTGTTGAGAAGGAACAAAGCTTACAGGAAACTCAGATCAGGCGCGGCTGTTCAGCATCAAGAGTACAAGTGAGGGCCTAGGAGGGCCCATTTCCCCCCGTGGGGGTAGATTCCAAAGAGTTCCCTGGAACAGAGACAGAGTACAGAGAAATCTGAAGGGGGTGAGCCCAGCAGTCTCCCTCGCTCCCCGGTCTGGCTCGGGCTGAGGATAGCCCTGGACTATCCGAACGGCCTCTCCCGCCCAACATTCTGCCCGGGGGGGAGGGTGCACATGGCGGGCCCTGGCCAGGCCATCCCGAATCCGAGCATCAGGACCAGCTGGATAAACCCTGCGTCCTGCTAGATCACCCCAAGGGTCGACCAAAGGCTAGCGGCCTGGGGCATCGCTCGCCGGTTTCTCACCTGCCCAGCCCTTCCAGCTGGTCCATGGTGACCGTCAGGTTGGTGACAGGGGACAGTCCGCCAGCAGCCGACGCGCCAAACAGCGCCTTCCCCATGGGCTGCGGAGCAGGAGTGGGGCTGCAGGAGAAGAGCAGGCGGCGGCGGTGGGGGGGCTCCGGGCCCAGTTCCATGGCGCCGCCGGGCCTGCTCGGACTCCCGCTCCGTCTTCCTCCGCCTCCGCTGC